TGTAAATTAGGGATATAAATGAACACGTATACATTATTTGGATTTAACAGATATCATTGGTGTATTCAAGTCATGTGGAAAAGATTGACTTGAAAAGATGTATTTATGAGTTAAATGAATGCACATGAACCCTGTCCAGGGTGTACCCCACCTTGTGCCCGATGCTCCCTGGGATAGGCTCCAGGTTCCCCTGCAACCCTGAAAAGGATAAGCGGTAGAAGATGGATGGATGGATGGATGGTAGAAAATGGATGGATGGATGAATGCACATGAACGCCACTACAAAATTGTAATTACGAGTGGGATTTTGTTTGTGCTCCGATTTTCCGAGTTGGGAGGCGTGTCAGTAAGAAATCATGGTAGAATCAGTGGATGCATCATCTGTTGTTGAAGGTAATTTTGTTGAAATTGAAAGTTTACTCATCTCAGAAGCTGATTCCAGTTATTATGTGTTTAGCAAGTTATTGTTGTGCTTTTTTAGTTACAATAAAACAAGTTAATTGCCTGTCGAAAATACAATCGCATTGTACAATTACGATAGAATATGTAATGATAAAGTTTACAGTGGCTTCATTCTTTGTTCTTAATTTTTTTGAAGTAGAGTTTAAAAGCCTTGATAGATTTGTTTGTAGTTCATTAAAAGAAGGTACACCGCCATCTTGCTCTGACTAAAGGGACTTGAATGAACCTGGCGACGTAATTACGACTTCCCAGCTCATAAATACAAACTTCCCAGGAGGACTTGAATGCCCAGCATGTTCTAAATGGATACAAATACAGATATAAATAGGAACAATATGATTTTTTTGTCCTTTTTTGATAGAAAAGTTTAAAGAGGCAAGACTAAATGTATGCATCACACCTGTAATTCTGTGGCTGCAAGCGAGTGTTCAGAGCTCACAGGACAGACAAACAAAAACATGTTTTGTGATACATTTAATGTTTATTCATGACTTGCTTACAGTGCTGGCATTTTTACCTTTGAGGGTTTTTTTCCCAGTATTATTGTGAGCATAGTGGCAGGAAATTAATTTAAGTAAAAGTGTTCTGATATAGGCCTCGCCCATTGGAGGTTTAAATTCAATGATAGATTTAGGGATATTTGGCACACTAAACAGATGCAAATACATATACCAGTAGGTGAAATTGGATTACACTTCTATTTTAAACAAAAGAATATTTTGGTGAGAAATGCACATGAAAAGGCTTAGTGCTAACTTGAGATTTATTTAAATTTTTTTTTGTAGTGAGAAAGAGCTTCTCAAAAGTCTGCCTCAGGTTTACAGACGGATCTTTTTCTAAAGCAGTTCAAAATTCCTTATTGATCTACAAAACCTTCTGTCTGGTGCTCAAAAGGTGAATGATAGCTCCAAAATATAACACCAGCACTTGTTTCTAGAACTACACATTATTTACTGGTGGTTATTGTATCTCAACAGTATGACATGGGGTATCAGAACAACCTGCAGTCATAGCTAAGCAGCACAAAGCCTCTGGGCGATGAAGTCACAGTAAATAAATAGGTTTTTATGCATTTCCTGTTTCTTTGTTTTTTTTTAACATTTATTCTTCTGGTCTGGTATTCCTGTTTCTGGGTATTATTTACTTAAAAGGATTATCATTTGCTTTTAGCAGGACTCTAAAAGCTTGAGTCTGAATATTCTAGCAGCCACATCATGCATAGAACTCTTACTGCAAAGAACACTGGGTACTAATCTCAGGATTTTGGATTTGAGTAAAAAAACATAACAAGGAGCTTCATTGTAAGCTGTTAACACTATATTGTCTTACCCTCACTGACCTACCCTCTTACCCTCAAAATTAAAAGTTTCTTTTTGAATGGGGGAAAAGTAAATGCTTGTGGTATAAACAGGGCGCCCCTACCCCACCTTTCAAGGAAAGAAATACATCAACATGAAATGACATTTTTTACATCTAAATCAAATTATTTGCTTGTGGAATTAAGCATAAGATAAATGCAATGAATAGTTTGAAGAAAGGAGGTTGCAACTGATTTCTTTCTAGCCCAGGCTGTAGATTCATGTAGCCAATCAGTGACAGTCATGTCAGGTGATTACAGAGATTGTAACACCTCCTAGATTTGATCTTCATTTGGACTGATTTTTTTTATATCCACGTAAAAATGACACAAAACAGCAGATGACGGTAATGTTTAGTGTTTTTTTGGTTTGAACAAAATTTTAAAGCAAGAATGCAGCTGCTTATCTGCTTTTAAATGTGTGTATCTAGTAGTTTGCCGTACATCGGTCTTAGTATACCTATGAGTCTTTCTGATATAATGCATTGTTTGACCCTAATAATTGTTTTGTCATTGTTGTGTTATGGATAGTTGCACTATATGGCCAAAGGTTTGTGGACACCTGACCATCACACCCATATTTTGGTTGTTGAACGTCCTATTCCAGATTTAGTCCCCTTTGCTGTTATAATAACCTCCACTCTTCTGGAAAGGCTTAACACTAGATTTTGGAGTGTGGCTATGGACATTTGCCCATTCAGACGCGTTAGAGAGGACAGGCTGCTTCTCTGATGTCAGAAGTGTAGGTCTGGGGCACAATCAGTGTTTAAATTCACCCCAAACGTGCTCAGCGGAGTTAAGGTAAGGGCTTTGTTCATGGTACTTGAGTTCTTCCACATCAACCTTGGTACACCAGGTACTCATGGATCTAGTTTGGGGAAGAACCACAGGTGTCTACAAACTTTTGGCTATATAGTATATCTTAACAATCCTATCTTAAATATAACAAACAATAAAATAAATTTACAGAAGCGTTTGAAGATTTGTAAGTAAGCCATTGATCTGTAGAAGTGTCATCTGACATGTCCAGATTTGGTCTTAGTGGTATTTCAGAATCATCATTTGCAGAGTCAGAAGACATGCTGTGTGGGGAATTGATTTGTCCACCATACAGTATGTGTACTAGTTTAATGCATTGACTATTGGGGCAAAGCAATATCCTTTTAGACACCCCAGAATTCTCAGTTACACCTCTCCCTAGAGGTTGCTCTTGATTATTAATTGAGCTTCACTTATTTTCACATGGTGTATTTTATTTATAGTACACCACTAATTCCCCAAAATTCCTGAAGGATATGTAAAACAAAGTCTGCCAAATACCTGGCAGGTGAAAAATATCAGTTATCATCAGTAAAAGCAAACATGAGAAGAAGAGAAGAGAAATTAAAAGACTCTTCCATAAAGACATAACTGATCCATTTCGTAGAACTCGCAGAATTACTGAAGTCAGAGAGCAATAACTGAATAGATACTGATATGAATAGATATATTTTATGAGGCTCAGAACTAAATGTAGGTGAAACATTTTATCCAGTCAAAAGGTGTATTGCGCAGAAGGACAATCTCGAATACATACAATTAAAAGTGACAGCCTTTCATTAGCGATAGCGATGTGCTGTCTAGACCATTATTATATAATACACTTAAACGGACATTCTCGAGATCCTTAGCATAATTTCTGCTCCTGTTTATCAAAAATACAATCATAAAAGTGTTAAGGATTTTGGCCAGCATTTTGAAAGTCAATTTGAGATTTATTATGGTAACACGTATAAGGCAAGTGATCATAGGGATTTACGACAGAATCCAACATGCAAAATATAAACATAAAAAAATATATTTTTTCCAGCTCTCATAATGGCTGCTATTAGTCATTTTTTATTGATTTTGTAAATATTAATGTCAGGTTTATAATAAAGCAGAGTGAAGCGACACTGATTATTGTTTACATGCAGTTGTTAAGACACTTTCTGGACCTACGTATGTTAGAACATCATGATAACAGACTTTGGGGTCCGGTGTATGTTTATGAATGATTAAAGCAATGCAATGACACGGTAATGACACAGTAATGTATATTAAGGAAACTGCGTTACACACAAATTCATATTTATATTGTTTATGACAAAATTGTGCAATGTCATGGAAACACAATTACAGAGTACCAAATTTTCTCTGAGCTAGAAAGTCAGAAAGTCTTATAGAAACAAAAATCTGACTTGACTCAGTTGTTATGTTAGTGGCACCAACAACTGACCAAAGCAGACTTTATAGCAGCTTACACCTAATGGAATAAGTCTTTATAAATGTTTGTGTAGGTCATGCAGCTCTATGAACACCACCTTTAGGGGAAGTGTTACAATGATTATTGAATGTCTCCACATTAAATAGATTTCGCCATTGTTGATTTTATCTTATTTGAGTATTCTAATTTGTTTGCACACTGTAACCCCTAATGATGTCTTTACTTAAACAATCAAGTAATCATGGCTAAAAATTACTTCAAATGTTGTGTTTAGACCAAATCTAAGTTTGTTTAACTTATTTACATACAAAATATACAAACTTCAGATTTCATGAACTCAAAATAACGATTTATTAAAGTCATTCTTTGATGTGATTGGCCATGCAAAGGAATTCCGCCTGTGAACAAGTGAACTAATGCGCTGATTGGTAGATAATTGTAAAAAGCAATATTCTTCGTCTCGTCTGTTGCTGGTACCGGTATTGTGAAATTCGAGAATTCATCATGAGTTGGACAGATGATTCGCTGTGTGTTTACAAAGAAATGGCAATCACGTAGAGGATGTTTTGTAGCACTCTCACAACTGTCACCCGAGTTCGATTCCTGGTCAGTAAACTATAAAGTCCACTATATTAACATTAAGTAAATTCAATTATGAACACCAAGTTAAGTGAACTTACCAATTTTAATAAAGTCTACATGAGCACCAAGTCAAGTGAATAAAAAAAAAAAAGTTTTAATGGGGAGACCCATTACTCAGTTAAACTGAGGGAATGCGTTTACTCAATCAATTGAGTACAATCAACTTGCTAGGTATCTTGCAGGCAACTTGCAGTGTATCAAAAAACATCATCAAATTTACAATGTTTGGATAGTGTTTTGGGCAGTTTTGTTGGAGAAGCATATTAAGTATTCAAATCCTCAACAGCCTGGCATGTCAGTGGTAGCTCTGTGTTAAAGGCATTGGTCTACTACACAGAAGGTCATGAGTTCAAACCCCAGCACTGCCAAGCTGCCACTGTTCAGATGTATAAATGAGATAATGTAGGTTGCTCTCAATGAGAGTAACCTTCTAGAATAACTGCTGCATATAATGTTCCAGGAGTAAATTAATCTCTTCTTTCATCTTCACTAACCACTGGTCAGGGTTGAGGTAGAAATATGGCATACATCCACTAAGCTTCATCTACGGCTTCCAGCAACTACACAAGTCCCCTTAACAAAGAGCCGTGTTTTACAGTCAACTGTACATGAGAATTTCCTGCTGGACAGAAAAATGCAGTGGCTTCTGTCCTGGCTATATTCTGACAAAGATAAAAAGCTCTTTCCTGTGTCTCAGCATTATCCGAAAGCGATGTCAACCAAGGTCTTCCTGCACCTTGTAAGATGGATGAGAATCCTCTGGAACATCTTTAGTACCTAATGCACAAGGCCTGTCCACACAGAGTGGATTTAAAGTTTAATACTGTACGTGAGGCTTTCACAGAATGAGCATAGAAACATACAGAGTGCAGGCTGAGAGTATTCGTGAACAGTATTCGTGAGTCTTTCACTTCTGTTCATAAAGTATTGTACTATGGGATGTTTATTGGTTTATGAACCATTGTCTCAGTCAATTAATCTTAGCTAATTCTTATTAGTTTAGTGTATATAAGCTGTTAGATTAGTACATCCTTGCAAGGTCTTGCCATTATTCCGGTCTGCATTTCCAAGCCTTATGTTTTGTATGTTTTTTTTTTCTGTACCATTATCAACAATTTTCAAACACATCCTTGGAGTATGTATTACATTAATAGTAAAATAAATAAATGTTTCTTTGTGATCCTGCTACATGCACATTGAATTCAATGCTATTGTTTAACTTTAACACAAGCCTACAGAACCAAAACACTCTCAACCTATTTAATTGCCTCTCTCAAGGCCCCGAGTCGTGATAAGGATGGGTGAGCAGACTCAAGGAAAGCAAGACTATCTATACTCCTGCTTTGATAAGAGTTCTGGTGGAGAGAAGGAAGCTCATTTCATTTCACATTTGACTCTTTTCACTTTTCTCACTCTCTTTTCTCTGTAATAAATGTTACTTTTTCCTTTTTTTCTGCCCCACTTCTCCTGCCTCCTCCACTATAACTGAAAGGATGGTTGTTGTAAAGAAGCTTATCAGGCTTGGTTTAATATCTTTCACCATTTCAAGCCTCCAGAAATCGGAATACTTCCTGTTTTATGTTCGGCACATTTCGCACATGTCACATTTAGCATACTAGACCAATGACCCACAAACCTCAGTGTGGTCCTTTAGTTTTAAAGAGATTTGTGCATCACTGTGGCATCTGCACCATGCAATAAGAGCCAATTTAATGAGCCTGGGGCAAATGTAAACAAGATGGTCTTGTTAATTTAGTCTTATCACTGACTATTTTCTCTCACTGGTAATGTACATGTAATCACTGAATAGATTTTGCTTAAGCATTTTTAGACTTGGAGTTCTGGACTGCAATTATAAAAGGAAGAAATGTTTCAAGCAAACGTTTTGGAGATATTGCGTGCATTTTCACAAATATGAATGTGTTCATGATTTGTTTGGTTTGGTTTGGTTTTAATTCCTAGGAGGGAGAATTAAGTTAACTATCATGACATCATGAGACTACCATACCAGGTTTAGAGACACATTATTACCTCGTACATCTTAATTACACAACAAAGTATACATGAATTTGATGTCACAATAGAACTCACTGGCACATGTTAGTCATTTTGTTACATACATATATGCGGGCAGTAGTTGCACATTGGACTACTAATCAGTTCAAATCCCAGCACTGCCAACCTGCAACTGCTGGGTCCTACAGCAAGGCTCTTAACCCTAAACTGTTCAGTTGTATAAATTTAAGTTGCTCTGGAAAAGGGCTTCTGCCAAATGCCACAAATGTAAAGGTACACCAAAATTGGTTGACTAAGGATAGAGATATTCTTGAAATAATGATAATATTATGGTTGATGATAACAGTAAAGAATTCATGCTCCCTCTCTTAATACAACTGGCAATAAAAGCAAATAAAATGAAAAGAAATGAAGTGACTGCCATTATTCTGTGACCAAAGAGCCTGAAATGAGCGAAGGAACATAAAAAAACGTTCTTTACTCTGATCGAGATAATATTTTTTCAGAATGCCGCTAAGCGTTGTTATGCTTGTGATCAATCATGTTCTGATCAATCCTTCACACCTTCTGCAGCATTAAATAAGCCCTGCAACATCTGTCCATGGCTCCATTCTAACTTGTTTGTCTTGCTGTGTGGAGCAGACTGCAGGTAATTAGTTTACTGAGACCAATGACCTGTGTTGCTGCCCTAGCCTTGCTTCGTTTCACTAATTGACTGTGCAGTAGGTGCTCTGTAGGCATATCACCACAAATTAAGGCCATTAAAAGAGAGATAATGGAAATACTGTTTTATGTTTCTTCGTTAAATACCTTTTTTTCCCTCCGCATTCCTTTTTAGTACTTGTATCCAGTGTTATTCATGTGTATATAGGTACACATTTAAACATTTAAACATATCTTATCTTTAAACATAGAAGTTGTTGACCTTAATAATTAAAAAAAAAAATTAAACACAGTATAACAACAATTGTTTTTATGTCTTAGAATATTTTATTTATAGTACAGGATAATTAAATACAGTGGGGTTACAAAGTCTGAGACCAGCAAAGAAAATGCTTCTGTTTTGCAAGTTGTACAAATTTAATACAAAATGTTCAACTACAAATTACATTAACTTGAGTGAAAAGTAAAATGTTTTAGTATATTCACATGAATTTGACAATTTCATTGTATTTCAAGCTGGCATGGGCTCTACAAGTTTGTGTCAAACCTTATGATTAATGTTAGACAAAAACATTGGAGTGTCTTTTGAACACATCCTTTAATGGAAGAAATAAGACTAAAGGAAAACTTGACCTTTTGTGCAAAGCAGTTAACATGGTCAATATCATTTTGCATTATCAATTTGCTTACATTTTAATATAGACCTAGAAATAGTACAGAAGATTGAATATTAAAAATTCGATAAATTCAAACTTTCTTTATTTGAAATATTTCTGAAACTTTCTGTGTATTTCCATTTTTAAATACATTTTTAAAATCCAAGAGTTTCAATATGGTCTCAGACTTTTGGACCACACTAAATATGATATCATTATAACAAGCAAAAACTCCTTTGATATATTAAATGACAATATACAGTAAAATAGGCAAAGCTGGATCATTTCATGAGTGAAAATTCATACTTCTCTAATTTTATTATGGAAAGCCAAGAGCTCCTAAGCTGTAATTATAAGTTTTTTGTTCACTGTTTACTTTTAGATTGACACAGGCATTGAAATGTAACAAGAGCATCTTAAACCTGTTGCTGTACTGAGCCTAAGGCCTTTCAGACCGCCCACTGCATACAGATTAACTTTAAGCTGAGTATTTATTAGAATCTTCATGTATAAAAGAACGGCCATGTATAAAATATATGCTGTGTAATAGAGCATACTTAATACCGCATCATGCTTGGCATAATCCTGCATTTCATTGTATTTCAAGCTGGCATGGGCTCTACATGCCAGCTTGAAATACTTCTTTCAGAAAATATCTATCCCTAAAGAAAAATAATAGACATTAATGTAATACACTATTAACACAGGCTGGTGTAATATCTCTACTGTAAGTTATAATGCAAAACTTTGTGTTGCCAAGCTTTCCCGGTTTTAACTTTTACCTACTTTATAATGATTAGCATCTGTTTTGGCTGCCAGCCTGGTACACAGCACCTCCTAATAATTATAATGGAGAATCTTCCATACAATTAACTCTAACTGGTTTGGTACCAGGAGCATTAGAAAGTGTGGAGTTAAGTAAGCATTAGTTCCATTGACTTGTGGTCTAAGTTTTATAGTATCATGGATATCAAGTAATCTATCATGTAATTAAAATGTAAATAAAAACAAGCACTCACAAGCTATTCGGATATTATACTATGTACTATGCAAACCAGTAGGCAAGGTCAATGTGCTACAGAAAATCTGCAAAGGGGTCTCAGTATCTCTATCTGGAGCACCCTTAAAGGTACTACAACCGATCCTACAATAAGAAAACACAAAGAAAATATACAGAATGAATGGGTAGAAACATTTTTGCCTGCTATTAGCAGGTGAGGAAGTGTGTACACATCTTTTTTTTTTTTAAAGTTCAACAAGTGAGCAACAAGTAAGTGAATCATGTCTGTGTTTTGTGGCAAACTTCACCCTGCCCATGCAAGTATTTGATCAGAGCATAAATCCAGACATAACACAGACCCAGATTAAGTATTAACTCGTATGTTTGTGCTCAATTATGAATATTGCACATAGATACTCATATTGTTTTAAAGGATCAGCTCTATGGTTAAAAGGGCCAGGTTGCAACAGTGAATTTTGCCTGTGGTGTGCCTCCTCAGAGTTTGTTATGACTAATAGTCTTGGTTAGCATGCCAGCGTCTGCACCATTTGGCCAGACTGGTAGGAGTGCATGGCCTGATAGGATGACTTTCTAAATTTAAAATAAGTCCAACAGTTCTCTTCAGTTCATGAATAGAATGAAAAAAAAAACACAATCTGGTTTATTTGTGTCGAATATCTGAATGAACCCACAGTTCTGAGCCAGTACTCCTGCTCAACCTTCAGGCTTGAGGGCACAGCTCAAACCACCTTTCTGCTCATACATCAAGTGCAGCCGCAAGCTTCAAAACATGTCTCATTCTCATTATCGCCTGCCATTAGCTGCTGTCAGTGTGTCAACATTAAGGATGAATGCCGCTCTATCTTCCCTGGCAGGTGTCTGTTTTCACTGCTGATGCACGATTGGGCCCTGCATGTGAAATCAATCATGATGTCAATGAACCCTAAATGCTCAGCTAACTCTTTAGGACCAGGTGAGAGTCTGCGGACTAAATTCCAGAACATGTCAATTGAACTGGAATCTATTTTGTCCT